GGACCTCATTTCAAGGAGGCTAACAATTTCCTCTGGCCATTCAAGCTTAAGGCTCCTCTTGGTGGCTTGAAGAAGAAGAGAAATCACTATGTCGAGGGAGGAGATGCTGGAAACCGTGAAGATTATATCAATGAACTTATCAGGAGAATGAACTAGATTTCTATTAAATGATGCCTTTTTGCAATTTTGGAGGTTCTGCGATAGTGAACTCTTTAAGTTTCTTGGTGATTCCTTTTTCAGACATGCAGTTACGCATTATGTTCAGAACAAAATTCTACATTTTATCCGCTGGACTTTGCATATTCAAGTAACTTATTCCATATTTTCTGCTAGCGCATTATGATTCAGTTTCTAGGCTATTTCCATTTGTGAGCCACATTTGTCTTACAGGCTGTGTCAGGTGGTTGCTGTATTATGCTTTCTGCAAGTATTTTTCTCTATGAAATTTACTTCGTGTGGGCCATATGCATGATTCTTTGTGCTCGACTGTTTTTGCTAGGAATTTTGTCGTTTCATATTTTGTAACCTTGTTTGCTGCCAGTCATCTTTTTCTGCTCTCTCTCAGCTCCGTGGCACTCTGGAATCCCTGAGAATGGCTTTTGGCATTTAATTGTCAAATGGTTGATTTAATAGCCAGTGCATTTTGCAATTTAAGGACCAGTGAAAGTGTTCCTAGACAAATTGCTTTCTTTCTCTGTTTTTCTTGGAAATGAGACCGACTTCTATCATTAAAGAGTTATACTGGATCATTTTGATTGACTTCCCAAAGTTCATCCTTGCAAGGATAATAACAATAGAGAAAGGTTTAGGGTCAACATGGAGATGGTGTTGGGTTGCACCACCACTATGACTAAGGCAGCACTCTTTTCATCTTTTATTTTGGCCATTTCATATCTTTTCTTGAAAGACATGTCCGCTAACATTCTGGATAAGTCATAAATACTAGTATACAGAATATAGAGCAAGGGCTATTCTTTATCCATGCAGAAATTGACTGAATACCCTAAAGAGTAAAATGAAAATGAAGGTATTATTGATTTTGTTCTTATATTGGATCATTCTATTATATTACTATTTAATCATAAATTTTTAATCAAATACTAGTTTTTCAACTGCACTTCAGCCATGTTGTTTATCATGTAGTCTTTTACTATAGAAATTAAGATAGTGGAACTGTGATTACAAAATAATGGAGTGCAATTAACATTTCGTTACTGTTAATTGAAACAAATTTTCAAGAATAAAAAATTTGTTAAAATTGTTAGACGGCAGAAAATGCATAACCTAGTTGGAAAACGTACCAAACTTTCTTGAGATGCATTACTAGTTTCTAGTTAATCTCATTGTTACATTGGAAAAATAGTTTTGTGCATTCAAATAGAATGATTTGTACATTGGCCAAAAGTTTCTCAAGCAAATTGTGTGGCCCTTGATTAGGGACGACAATTGAGACAGGTGCCTGCAGAGTGTGGGCGGGGAGCGGGGAATTTTTTCCCCCGATTAAGAAATGTGGCAGGCGAGTATACTCCTGTCCCATCCCCAGCCCTGCCACCTCGTTAAATATATATATGTATATATATATAATATTTAATTTAATTAGTTACAAATTTATAATAATGATATTGTTAGTTATAAATATTATTAATGTACATTAGTATATGTAATATAATTGTTATTATCAATTATACTAATAATTATATATGTTTACTAATAGAAATTATTAATTAGTTATACTAAACTTACCAATACATTTATAATAAATTCCTAATTACATTTAATACAACAACACTTTTTTTGTAAAAAAAAAATACAATAATGACTTAGTGATTGTATTTATTTCAAAAGTGAAAAGTTGATTACTTTAGCTGTATTTGTTTCATCGTGTTAAATTGTATTCAAATAGTTTTTGTTTGATTATTTTTATGATTTCAATTATAAAATTATAATGAATAATGATTTGATAATGTGTTGATATTTTAATACTTAATTATTTACTAAAATTTGACTACAATCAAATTATATGTCAAGGCACAGAGAAGTAGTAGGCAGCGGGGCCGCCCATGTTGCCATTCCTACCCTTGATGAGGGAATCTTAAATGCCTGTTTTTCAGATATGCGAGGGGCCAAAATTGAAACTTAGCATCCAATAAAACAAAAAAAAAAAAGAAATTGAAATTTAGCACTGCGGGATCTCGAGGTATATGTTTTTCTCCGCTAACTACTAAAGGGGTTTCATGTGCTTGCTGCTTGCATGTAATCAATGCAAACATCGTGTTGGGTAAAAATTCATGATTATAAGGTTTCACTTGGCAAAATGATTATGATATAATTACCAGAACATTTGAAACTCCGGGTTGTTATTCTCTCTCTCTGCTGGGTAAAAATTAGAATTTTCTACTATTACCCAAGATAATATAAAGACTTAATCTTACTTTGGGCCCTAACCATAAAAGCGGGGACGCTTCAATCTCCCAAGTATAAAATCTATCCCACTTAAATAAAATATATCCCACTTTAGTCCATAAAATATAAAATCTATCCCACTTTAGAAACTAAAGTATATAAAATTTTATATTTTTCAGGGACTACAAGGAATAGGTTACACTGAAGTGAGAAGGATTTTATAATTTAGGAACTAAAGTGTCATACTTCAAAATTTAGGGATCAAAATGAAAATTTAGAATATTTAAAAGGTGCAAAATAGAATTAAACCTAATGCATAACCAATGGTTATCCTCGGGTTGACCTGGGCTATCCGTCTTTTAACTGTGACAATTAAATCATCTTTGTAACATTTTCTATGTCTGTAAGGAATATATCCTCGGATGGAAAACATGAATATGACAAGTATCATGACGTCCAAAAATCTTTCACTTTAATGTGCATTCATTAACATTCTTTCACGTGGAAGTGGGACGGAAACAGTTATCAGAATGATCGTTCCTAGCAGTTAATGGTCAAAAGTGACTGAAAAAAAAAAGATTCAAATCACTATATGTACATTATTTTTAACGTTATGTGTAGGGCCGATGAAAACTCATTTTATAATTATTCTTTTTATTGAAAGTAAGGTATAACATGAGAATGAGAAAAAGTAAATTATATCTGGTGGAATTGAATAAAAATCTGCACAAACGGTTGTGCCCCATGTCCCTTTTACGTTACCTTTGATTGATTTTGCCTTGTTTGCACATTTGTGAACTCTTGGACGGCAACACATACCTATCTTGTCCCCTGATGGACGCAACCTCTGACGTTTTCGTTTAAATTATTCTCCAAAAAGCCCATTTATGTAATTTTGGCGAAATGGAGAAGAAAAGTAGAAAAAAATATTAGATACATTTTGCAGTAATTTTACGGAGGTTAGATGGACTAAAATCAACAAGTGGCTTGGGGCAGGGACGTATAATTTGTTAAGGAAGGATTGCAGTTTTAGTTCCAAATATTTGGGGTATAAATGTTTTCAGTCCCTCAAGTTTTACATAAAGGCACATGTAGTCCCAAATATCTCTTTTTCTATGCACATTTAGTCCTAATGACTGATTTTTACCAATTACTATCGAAATCAGACCATGTGCGAGCAACTAATTATTAAAAAAAATCTAAAAATTAATGAAATATTACAAGCCATAAATTGTAATAAAAGATGACTAATTACTAATATGTTGGTCATGTGAGTAATTAGTCTTTAACCTAATTGTTTTGGCTTAACTGAATTTGTATTTTTGGGCTAAAGACTAATTACTCACATAATCACCATGTGAGTAACTAGTCCTCTTTTACTACAAATTATGGTTACAATAATTTTTTCCCAGTTTTTTTTTATTTCTTTTGAAAAATTAATTATCGGTATGTAATAGCACATGACTGGATTCTGGTACCAATAGGTAAAAATCAGTCAATAGGACTAAATGTACATAGAGATTAAAACATTTTGAACTATATTTACTTTCTTCCAAACTTTAGGGACTAGAAGCGCTTATACCCAAAACTTTTGGTACCAAAATTACAATTCTCTCATTTGTTAATTCTATTGTCGGCCCCACTTTCTAAACTGTGTCCAAATAACAAGAGAGGGAAAGAAAGTGGTGGCATGAAAACATTCGGGAAAAAAAAGAGAAAAGAAGAAGACCGGATCAGAAAGAAGAAAAGGAAAGGGAAAAGAAAGTACATGATAGTTGGGGACTAATTGTCTATGAACATTATATATCAAGTAATGGGGGTTAATTGCAGATAAGAAAATCAAGGGGCAAAACCATTTTAGCCATAAATACAGGTGGTTAAGTTTATATTCCCTCTAACCACTGAGCTTAACTCAGTGGCCACCAGGGAGGGACAGCAAAAAAAATTTAAGGGTAGTGTCATAGCACTCTCTTGGTCTAATTAGGTCTATATATCCACTAGCCTCCAAGACACAAGCCTCCTTAGGCTCCCTCTCTCCTAGATTAGGATAGAGTAGGTATACAATATATCGTTGTTGGGAAAAAAAAAAAGTATATATTCCCTCGAAAACTATCAACAACCATGTCAAAACAATACTGCAAACCAAAACATTGGATCAATTTCAGAAACTTTAAACCCCTAAAATCAAACCTTCAATTACTCTGTAATCATTTGTCTCGTAATTTGTTTTGGCAATTATCAGAACCAACCGGTGTGCCATCTTCCATTACCAGCTAGTTTAATACAAGGTAAATCAGCTGGTACTTTTTTAATAAATAATCCATACTATCTGATCAGAGGAGTAAAAGAACATATATCCCAGTACATGAGAATATTTCGTGATTATTAGTCCACATCCAAGAACTTTATGCATGTCACAATTCCGTTGGCACTAAAACTTTTGATGATTGGGACTCAAACTTTTCTTGCGAATTGATGCATGTTCTTGTGCATTTTTCCTAATGGCAAGCACATATTGTCTATATGGGGAAACATCGAAGTGAATTTCTTAAAAGTATTGAGACAAGAGAGGATTAATTTATTTACCACATGCTATATATATATAAAGAAAATTCACTCTTATTATTAAGTAGGGAAAATTACATGAGGAGGGACAAAATTGTTGCACAAGCAGCAATTTCCAGTAGAAAGGAGTTTAATTTAGTTGCAAGAAGAAGTTTGATTATTCAACAACAGGATATTTTTTGGCATTTTTAACTATCTTGGTTAGAGCTGCTTGGCCAAGGTCCAGTCCACAGACATCAGCTAGCTGAACTAGGTAGAATAATACATCAGACAGTTCCTCCTCCAAATGCTCCTTGTCATCAGGGCTCCAATTTGGCAGTCCTCTTGCAACTTCTCCCTTCCACTGAAATATCTCTGATAGCTCTCCAACCTCTCCAACCTTCAATTCAAACAAGAAAAAACACCAAGCACACAAAAAAAAAAAAAAAAAAGTTGAAGCGAAAATTAATGTCAAAATTGGTAACAAAAACAATATATAGTAACCATACAAAACTTTCCCTGACTAGTAGACAAATAATAGTATGATTACTATATTAATAACGAAGATGTGATTTCCTTAGTGAAAATGAAGCTCTTTTCATACATAAAAGAGAACAGATAATTATCAACCTCGAAAAAATTATTAGGGTAGGAGGGATGATTATGAGTCTCAAACAATATTTTAGATTGTACTTCACACTCATGTTATGCACCATCTTTCACTATATGCAATGCGTGGATTTTATGGAACCTTTTGGTGTTCTTTTATTTAACTGGTAATACAAGAGTTAGTGCCAACAGAGTAAGAGATTATAAATAGCATTCTTCTGGGACATATTGAATATGCATCAAACTTACCAAGGCTAGAAGTAGGTTTCTTGGACTATGATATTGTTCCCATCCTCTAACTTTAGCAAACTCTGCAAGCCTATCTCTGAGTTCTTGAAGCGAGACATCCTTGGATTTCTTGGAGAATTTCTGGGAGATCTCCATTCCTTCTTCTTCTTCTTCCTCTTATTCTTCTATGCTTGCTGTTGTTTCAGTTTGCTTGCTGCATTCCCTATTTAAAGATCCAAAAAAGTATGTGCATATCTATAATAGGAACAAATAGATATAGACACTAATTATACCTGTGTTGTGTAGTGGAGGGGCCAATACAGTATTCACGTGAGGATTGGCGACGTTGTTTGCGGATTTCCATCCATGACTTGATACCACTTGGACAAAACTTTCTTGAGAAATATATCCTTTACTGAGAATTATAGGCTGCAATTGGTCCTTTCTATTATAGTTTTGGTATCACTTTCAAACTCCCCAAAATTATGCTCCATTCGTTGATGATGGAGTCTCTTGTTTCTTTCTTCGCCTTTAGGCAAATTTGGATATGCCTTCCTTCCTTACCTGTCTGGTGATTATTGTACCAGAGGTGCAATTGGGGGAGACTGTCCCGTGGCCACAACTTGCTCAACATCGGGAATTTACAATTGACAATTGACAATTTTTATTGCACGATATAATATTCGTGTTAACACAATAGATGTAAACGTTAAGCCAATAAATGTAAGCACTAAAATAATAACATGTAAGAAAACAATAAGTTCTGTGATCACGTTTGGATTAGCTGTTTTTTTGGGTGTTTTTGAAATATTTTACTATAACAATATATATGAAAAATTTTTAATATTGATATTTTTTAAAATATTTGATATATTGTATGGATGGAATGTTTTTTGAGTTGTTTTTGTTTATGTATTATTGCAACATTATATTTGAAACAATTGTTTTTTAAAAAATAGACCAATCCAAACGGAGATGATTCACAGTCAATTTCATCTGTCTAATTTCTAATCAACTCGATTTGAGCTATCACTTGTATACTGCAATTGCTAGTCCTCTACCTTGGAATTAATCTTCTTTTTATTTATTTTTTTTTTTTTTTTAGTAATACAGACTCGAGTTACTACTAGAAATTATGTTTTTTTTTTCTATTTGATGAAGGGCCTAATAAATGTTGTCATATTGGATTATTGAATTTCAGTTATCAATAACAAGGAATAATTTTTGTAGTTGACGTGATATATATCTCTATTATTTAAGGTAAAAAACGCAAATTAATGGACCCTTAGGATAACACAACATTCAGAAAAGTCTATTTTTTGGTCATGGAGGCAAAGTCGACAAGGAAACATGATTGCTTTCCAGGGAGTGCTATGAATCCCGGGTTGTGCGGCTCTGATGTGGACGATTGTCGGGCAACCAACGCCTTCCATTTCACATGATCATCTGGTGAAGGGAGGGGAGAGGGTTTGTCAGGATCCAAATGCATGTGAAATTGGATATAGAAAAGTGTCCCTATCAGCTCAATCCCATTGAACTTGATGCGGGATGGAAAATATTCGATCGTAAAGTATTCAAAACTGAAATTTAAATACTAAAGTAGGATGGATTTCAACTTCAGAGCATAAAGTAAGTAGCCAAAAATGAAATTTATAGACAAAAAATTGTGAGGATCCAAATGCATGTGAATGCATGTGAAATTAGATATAGAAAAGTTTCCCTATGAGCTGAATCCCATCGACCTTGACGAGGGAGGGAAATTTTTTGCCTGTAAAGTGTCTAAAATCGAAATTTAAACACTTTAGTAAGATAGATTTTAGTTTTAAGGGGTAAAGTACATGGTCAAAACTAAATCTATAGACTGAAATGAAAGTCCATCTACAATTTATGGATCTAAATTAAAAATTTATCCTATGAAACTATTAGGAAATTGGATTAATTTCTTTTAGTCAAGATTCCTATTTGGTATGGGAAGTAACTAGTTTCCTAATTGGATTTAGTTACTTGAAGTAGTAGTTAAGTAAATCCCTATTTAGCTAGAATTAGATGCTATTTTCTACTCTATATGAGTTTAGGAAATAGTATTGGTTTCCAATTGTTATTTGATTTTTTGGCAGTAATGTTCTCTATAAATAGGTAGATTGGCATCTCTATAAATAGGTAGATTGGCATACTACAGAGACACACAAGGAGACACAAGGGGTATCATTTAGCCTTATACATGGGATGTGAGAGAGGGTTCTTGAGAGATGAGAGATGGTATACAAGGGTTGGGATTGGGTTCAAGTTGTATTCTTGTATAGAGTTTTCCTCTCATAATAAAGAACATGTTTCTCTCCATGGACGTAGACTCAATAGTGGAGTTGAACCACGTTAAATATTATGTGTCGTTTATCTTTCATGATTGTGGCTTATTTGCCATTAAATTGTTGTGCATTTGATATCTCAATATTGTTTATTCCGCGTTTGGATTCTAACAAATGGTATCAGAGTTTGGTTGTGAGACTAGGTTGCTCAAGGTTCATAGTTGGATCCTAGTTAACTATTGAGATCAAATGGATTGGTAGCTGTTACCAATTGAACAATTTAATGAGTGATATCCTTGTTTCAATGGTTTGGCAAAAAGCATTGATGGTGAAGGATGGGAAGTCAAAAAGTACGAAAATACTTGACGGTGAATCTAGGCAGGTGATTCAAGGGTCAAGGAAAAAGTGGAGTCCAATTTTGATTTTGGACGTGAATCGGTGGAGACTTTCTCACACCTCCAACAGTTGATACTTCATTTCGGTGGATCTTAGATTTTGGTTATATTCTTTGGGCGGTGTGGCACATGTTCCAAAGAAACAAAGAAATCTAATTTTCATGCGCCAGAAGACTCTGACAGTTACGAGTTTTTCGTTTTAGGTGGAGTCTTGAAAACCACACATGGCGAGACAGTCCTGAGAATGGAAAGAAGTATAGTGATTTTACCACTTGGTTGCCTCAATGGTTAGGATTAGAGCTCACAGAAGGGGATTTCAGATTGCAAGTGGTGGTGAGAAGAAATATTGTAAAAGGAGATAGTGAATTGAGGCACCTTCTCACTAGTCAACTGGAGGTTGGAGTCAGGGCAACTACACATGTTCGTTTGCCGATTGAATCAATTTGGTGTCAGGATTGTATTGATTCGGGTGTATAGTTTGGTACCATATTATTTGGTAATTAAAGGCAAATGGTTGTTAAAAGAAATTTTTGCCAAGGTGGAGATTTGTTAGGAAATTGACTTAATTTCTTTTAGTCAAGATTCCTATTTGATGTGGGAAGTAACTAGTTTCCTAATTGGATTTAGTTACTTGAAGTAGTAGTCAAGTAACGCCCTATTTAGCTAGAATTAGATGCTATTTTCTACTCTATATGAGTTTAGGAAATAGTATTGGTTTCCAATTGTTATTTGGTTTTTTGGCAGTAATGTTCTCTATAAATAGGTAGATTAGCATACTACCGAGACACACAAGGAGACGCAAGGGGTATCATGTAGCCTTATACATGGGGTGTGAGAGAGGGTTCTTGAGAGATGAGAGATGATATACAAGGGTTGGGTTTGGGTTTAAGTTGTATTCTTGTATAGGGTTTTCCTCTTATAATAAAGAATAGGTTTCTCTCCGTGGACGTAGGCTCAATGGTGGAGTCGAACCACGTTAAATATTGTGTGTTGTTTATCTTTCATGCTTGTGGTTTATTTGCCATTAAATTGTTGTGTATTTGATATCTCAATGTTGTTTATTCCGCGTTTGGATCCTAACAGAAACAATATTCTAGCTAGGGACTTCAAAAAAGAACCGAAAAAGAAGGTAATTGAGAAATCGAATTGGTTCAATTAGAAAAATAGGGTAATGAATCCGTAGTTTTCAAAATGGTTAGAGGTTAGTTGGACCTACTCGACAAATTAGCTTAGGGTATGATTTGCAAATATCAAAAACCGTAGTTATCCGAACTTACCTGCATATGGATAAGGTTGGTTAGGATAACTGTATCCAAAGCTCAGCCTATAATTATTTAGTCATTTACTAATAATTTAAGTTACAGGATCCATGCCATTATACATTTTATTTTTCACAACTTATAAACTTGTATATTTAACCTTATGTTTGATTTATTTGTTCCATTTCCTACATTTATAACTACTAATTTCATTTATTTTACTATTCTATTTTTTGTCTTTCTTCAAAATTTTTTTCCTTTCTCATTAATTCTATCCACTTCATCACTCTACTTATTTTGTTTTTAATTAATAGAGCTTACATGTTAGGTTGCGAAGCAACTTGTCATCCTTAATAAAAAATAAATTAATAGTTTTCAAGAATTAAAAAAATGAAAACAAATGTTTAAAAATATTTTATGCTTTAATTATCTATTGTGTTTTGATTTTCTATTTTGTTGGTGGTTTTTAGAATTGTAGGATTAAACATTCTAATTAATTTAGATAACTATTGTATATTTTTTGTTAATCTGATTATGTTTTTCTTTTTTTTTTCCTCCAAGTACAAGAGGGTTAGGTTTTACCCTATATACTCGAATCTACCTTACAAGTTAACTGATTAGTGGTAAGCCGATTGAATCAGATTAGGGTATAAAATACAATTTTGCTGAACTGCTACTTGTGATTAGGGTCAGCAGAATTGCAAATTGACTAATTACTCGCTCCACGAACACTCCCAATTCTTTCTAGCTACTTTTTCTTGCGATATTTGAGTCATTGCATTAACAAAGGCAAGCTATAATGAATGAAGTGAAACATACCTCATCGTGGGTGGGGTGTTTCATTTGAGTTTGGTAGAACAGTGGCCATAAGCATGTTTGTCTTTTTCCGCTCCAGTTTTGACATGAAATTCTTCATATCTTTTTTGGAGATATGAAACTTGAGCATAACGTTAGGGTCGACTGTGAGCAGTAGTATTTTGTCTTGAATTTGAAGGGGTCCCGCTAACAACTGTTTATATACACATGGAAAATGTTTGTACAGGAAGGAAGCTTTCAACTTTTGTCATGTGTCTTTCTTCATGTCTGTCCCTTCAGTCTTCACAGTCTATTCCACCTTCTTACACGAATTCTACTGGACTCCATTGACAAGTTCATTAGAGAATTTAGCAAGTTCTTACATATTTTTACAATAGAAATGGCTACTAATGGACATATTAGGGATGAGTTCCAACAAAAACAATTGTCATTAAGGGAGGGATGAGTTGGATAGTGCGGAGAAGAGAGTACGTATAAATGTGAGATCTCAAGTTTGAAATCTACCGCCCTCCGGGGCTTGGTCTGGCGGTTGAGATTGCTGAAGATGGAGCCTTAGGCCCCTGGTTCGAACCTTACTGCCACCAAGTTGT